CTCGCGAGCGCTCGAATTATGGCTCCTTTTCGTTGCTTTTTACAACGTTGTTGCAAAGCTTTGCCACATACATGATTCCCACACTGGACTTGCCCACATTAACACTCCTATTTTATGTTCTTTCTTTTTTCTTTCTTAAATTTTATTCTCTTCACACTTTGGAGTGGAAAAGGAGGGGATACGAATGAGATTCAGGAAGTTAAGAGTCCGTTCATGTCACGTGACTTATAAAACACACGTCATGCTCCGAAGACCACGCCCGAGTTTTTGGGGTTTTTTTTTGTAGACCCGGACAAACAGATCATTAACAGCTACAAATTTGCTGCCCAGAAGCGCACTGGAACGGGCTGGATGGAGTCTGCAAATGATGTGTAATGGGTGCATGCCTGATGATGATGATGAGTGAACGGTCAACTCGGAATTCTCACATTTAAAACTTTAAATATAACAAACTTTAAATAGAATGAGTAATAAAATAATTAAGTCAAATTAGACTTTATTCGTACGAGTACGAGTTCAACATATGGCCACCGCAGTGCGACCTTTTGGCCAGTAGGTTGCATTGTTGCCGTTTCTTGTGCGCGCTGCGTCTTGTTTTTTGATCCATTCTCGTGGATTTCGAGTCGATCGAGTTTCGGTCGGACGTTATTGTGTCGCTACACGGAGAGTAAAAACCGACAATGTGAGGCCCGTACGTTCGAAATTCATCCATTCGTTATTTGAACCACTTAATCCAGTTGTTGAAAACTGCGCTGACCGTGACCTTACTCTGACGTCGATTTATCGCGCCTGGAGACAGCTTAGCCAACCCGGAAGTGCAGTTAGCAAACACTGCGGCACCAAAGTTCGCCGACGGCTTCAGAGACTTTTTACGAACTCTCCTTCTTGCCAGTATTACGTAATTTTTTTGCCCCCAAAATGCCCGACCACCAACTACCACCACTAAGGTACGAACGCCGAGGTTACAAATTGCTTGGATGTGTTCTTCACCCAAATCACCTGTATTTTAACACACTTGTGACGTACAGGGTGGTGGCATTAATTGATCTCGGGTGATAAGAAAAGTTGTCACGATCCAACTGGTTTGCAATCAGTTGTTGGAAATTCTTGGTCGTCATTTCATGACGCGACGTTGTTGGAACTCAAGTGCCAGCCCTCCGTGCTGCGTGGGCATGCGCATGACGAGGAGTCCTGGTTTTGAAATCGGTGTCTTTCTGTTCATAACGCTTTTGTGAAGGATTGTGGCCGCGCGGTGTAGAGCCAGCGACGGGCTGGAGGGCTTCAAGGCTCACGCCGTGTTCCAGGAGATCAACAAGAAGCTGCAGCAAGTGAGAAGGAATGTGG